CCTCCTCCTCCTCCTCCTCCTCCTCCTCCTCCTCCTCCTCCTCCTCTCTTTTGCCTTCCAAGATAAAGTCCCGATTCGGAGATATGCGGATGGGACCATAGATATGGAAGAAGCCACGGAACCCACCAAGCCTGAGGGGTCTGGCGGTGAGAAAGGACCTTGCTGTAAATGCCCAAAGACTGAAGCAGAGAAGCAGGCCGAAAAGGAGGAAGCGGAATACCGGAAGGTCTTTGAGAATTTCCTCCACAACGCCATCTTTTTGCCCAGGTGAGTTGGGGTGCGGGGGGGGGGGCGGGCGCTTGCCAGCATGCCTTCCGCAAGCGAATGGGGTTCAGATTGATGGCATTGATTTCTTGGAATAAAGTCCTTCTGCTTTACTGGTTGTAATTCTTACATGCCATGATGAGAATAAAAGGGTCTATAAGGATTTGGCAAAGACCTCCCCAGCTATGAGTGGGGTGATGAGCCCTTGAAGGTGAGTTTGAGCATCGGGATGCTTGTCTGCTGAATTTAACCCTTTCTGTGACACTTAAGCACAGTTTCCTTTGCCCCTTCCTTCCTTCCTTCCTTCCTTCCTTCCTTCCTCCCTCCCTCCCTCCCTCCCTCCCTCCCTCCCTCCCTCCTTCCTTCTGCCTTGGAGTGAAGATGTGAGTGCTGGAGAGATTAAAGCCTGGTTGTTAAAAGGGTTTTGTTGTTGTTGTTGGTCCAGACCTGATCGGAAGAGGAGGGATTTGTTCCGAGTTGCAAACACAACGTTTGCCGGTAAGAACAGGACTGGGACCGCTCCAGAACACTTGAGCAACGGGACCGACGTGGAGGAGGGTGAGATGGAGTTTCCCTTCTACGAAGCGAAAGTGGAGGGCAAGGAACGGACCCTCATCTCCCAGCTCCTGCCTTTCACCCTTTATCGGATTGACATCCACAGTTGCAATCACGAAGCAGCACGCCTGGGCTGTAGCGCTTCAAATTTTTTCTTCGCCCGGACGATGCCTGCAGGTACAGTCTCCCGCCTTTTATTTAGTGCGTGTGTAGCTTAAGAAAGCATCATGGTCCAATCCGGCACATAAACTCCCTCTTAGTTTGATCCTAGAAGTAGGGTAGATGAAGGAGAGGGCTGCAATGTCATTTAAGCCAAGCTTTCTGTTGATTGACATCTTGTAGGGGGCGGGGCTAGGATACATTCAGCATGTTATTTCATCAAATTTAATATTATTGGTAAGAACACTCCACTGGAATTTAATCGTTTTCCTTCTCCCGTCACATTAAACATTTCACTTTGTCAGTAACTTTTGAAAGGATTGTAGCATGCAACCCTCTGATTGCAGATTGCATAGGTAGGATTAGGAGAATTAAGGGCTTCAGTAAACAGCTGAAGAGCTAAGCGCTGAGAGCTACTGTATGGTTCCTTGAAACACCTTGATGTCATGGTATATGATAATGGCTATCATATTGATATATTCTCGTTCTGTACCTTTTCATTGTTTATTTTATTCTCTTATTTTACTTCAGTTTACACTCTTTCATTTCTTCCTTTTTATTGCCGTACGCTGCCTAAAAGTTCTGTTTTTTTTTAAAAAAACTTCCTCTTTTGGGCAAATATATAACTTCCGGGTCAAATTGGTTCAAAGCTATGCCATCTTAGATTACAGCTCTGGTTCTGAGTTCAATCAAATAGCTAGCTTGGTCTAGTGCAGGGGTAGGCAACCTTGGCTCTTTTATGACTGGTGGACTTCAACTCCCAGAATTCCTGAGCCAGCCATGCTGAGGGGAAAGGGGGAGGTTTCCAAGCTGAGCCATGGCTGGCTCAGGAATTCTGGGAGTTGAAGTCCACGAGTCATAAAAGAGCCAAGGTTGCCTACCCCTGGTCTAGTGGTTAAAGCTCCGGGCTACAAATCAGGAGACAGTGAGTTCAAGTCCCACCTTAGTCATAAAAGCCAGCTGGGTGATCTTGGGCCAGTCAGTCTCTCTCCGCCCACCCCACCCCACCAGGTTGTTGTTATGGGGAAAATAGGGGCGAGGGAGATGGATATGGTCACTATCTTGGGTTGTTGGTTATAATACAGGTAGGATACAAATAAATGAGTCCTCTTTTGCACTCGCTTTCCACAGAAGGGGCTGATAACATTCCAGGAAGTGTAACCTGGGAAGGGAAGGAAGAAAACACCATATTCCTGAAATGGCCCGAGCCGGGTAACCCCAATGGGTTGGTTTTGATGTATGAAATCAAATATGGACAAAATGGAGAGGTAAGAAGATCGATGACTTTGTTGGTGTTTACAGTAGTCCTCGACTTACAATCAATCATTTAGCGACTGTTCAAAGTGACAAACAGTCACTCACACTTAACAACCGTTGCAGCCTCCCCTTGGTCATGTGATCAACATTTGGGGGCTTGGCAACCGGCCTGTATTTACGAGGGTTGTCGTGTCCTGGGGGGTTATATCATCACCATTCATGAGCTTCCCAGCTGACTTCCAACACGCAAAGTCAATGCGGGAAGGCAGGTGGTTCACTTAACTGAGTGCATCATTTAGCAACCACAGCAAAAGAGGTCACAAAATAAGGCACGGCTCCCTGAACAACTGCTTTGCTTAACAACGGAAATTTGGCTCCCAGTTGTGGTCATACGTCAAGGACTGCCTACATTTGGTTACATTTCTAAACCACGAATTAAAGTCCACAGGTTCAAACATCCTGAATGCTTATATCACAGCCAGGCACGGAATCTTTACAGAGAATATTGCCCCAAGCAATGTAATATCAGATATCTGGATAAGATCTTAACCCAGAGATGGGTCTTGCAACAAAGGTTGTGAACACAACACAGCAAACGGCTCACGTTTCAAGAAAAGACGCTGGAAAGATTGAGCTAGAAGGAGGGTTATTGGCTGGTTGTGACCATTTGCAGAATAAAGTGCCGTTAACGAGCTCTTCCTGGTGATTATCATGCTATGCTGGGTTTTTAAAAGTATGATGGTCTGTCATCTAATTGCATTACTCTGAGTCCCCATTATGATTAAGGCAATGTTTCTCAACATTTGTAAATTCCAGGGCTTCAGATCTCAGAATTTCACAGCCATTATGGCTGTCAGTGAGAATTGTGGGACTTGAAGTCTATACCCCTGAAAGTTACCAAAATTAATGAAATGCTGGACCAAGGCCTAAATGTTGGGGTGGGGGGAGACTGGCTTTCCTTTGCGTGTGAAGTCATTTGTTAAGACATCACATTATATACCAATCAGGCCACTAAGATTTATTAGGCCACTAAGATTTATTCAGTCTTGGTTTAGTGCTATTTTGGAACCCAACAACTGATAAGAGAGAATATTCGTTTACTCAGGGTTGAAATGAGGGGTCCTTGGTGCTTTCTGAGGTTGGTTGTTTTTGTGCAGACGTTTCATTACCCAACTAGGTAACATCATCAGCGCTAGTAAGGAGTGGGATTCTCCGTTTCTATTCTAGTGGCCTGCCCTATCAGGTTTGGAGGTTCTTTGGTTGGGCTGTTTACTGTCAGCTTGTTTTGCAGTTTCTTGATTGGGGCATTGTTCACTTCTTGATTGTTGGTCTGATGTTAATCTTAGTGTTAATCTATGCTCATTTGCAACCTCCAAGACTACTGCCACCAGTACTGACATGAAAAGGCACAACAACAATATAAATTCATACAAATTGAAAACAAACCCCACTCCTTACCAGCACTGATGATGCTCCAACAGACCTACCTGGAGGGTGCTTGAAACCCGATTCAAAATTCCCACAGTGGGGTCCCCCACCATCACGTGACCAAATTTCAGGCACTCCGCAACCAGGCCAGGGATGATGGGCATTGTAATTCTACCACGCAGAGAGAGACCCGCATTGGGGAACGAATCGTTTTCTGATTTGGTACGGCTGTTTCCTGAGCTTTTGGTGAAGTCACTTGATGGAACTGTGCCATTTCAGGAAAACAAAGCAAGCAGAAAATCAGGTTTTTCTTTTTTCACTGTCAAAACTAAATCTTAAGAAGAGCATTTGTACAATGTTCCCTTTTGTTCTTTGGACATCTGTTTAAATCAAACTGGATAACCTCATGAAGGATTGGGTGTAGCTTTTAGCAAGTTTTCTGTATTGTGAGAGAGCATAACACATATATTTCCCTGCAAAACTTTTTACAAGATTGCTCAGGTTTTGTGCATTTGAGAAGGAAAAACAACAAATGAAGACTCTGTTATACAGGTAGTCCTCAACTTACAACAGTTGACCATTCGAAGTTACAACGCCACTGAAAAAAGTGACTTATGGTCATTTTCCACACTTATGACCATTGCAGCATCCCCAGGATCACATGATTTACATTTGGATGCTTGGCAACTGATTCATATTTATGACGGTCGCAGTGTCCCGGAGTCATGTGATCCCCTTTTGCAACCTTCTGACAAGCAAAGTCTATGGGGAAACCAGATTCACTTCACAACCGTGTTACTAATTTAACAACTGCAGTGATTCACTTAACAAATGTGGCAAGAAAAGTTGTAAAATGGGGCAAATCTCGCTTAACAAATTTCTCACTTAGCAACATAAATGTTGGGCTCAATTATGGTGGTAAGTTGAGGACTACCTGTACTTTAATGTGTTTCCTCTTGTGTAATGCTTCTGTTACTCATTTATTTGTTTGCAGGGGGATTCAAGGCGGTAATAAATAAATTTGAGATTGAAACACGTGAAGGAGAAAGGAAAACCATCTGCCACAGTAGTTGGAGAAGATTCCAGAGAAACCTTAAGTCCTTTATTATTGTCTTGTCTTGCAAAAGATAGATGAATAAAGAAATAATTGAGCCATTTCTCTTCCCCATTTTCACCCAACTTTGCAGGAAAAACGGGAATGCGTTTCCAGGCAAGAATATAAGAAACTTGGTGGAGCCAAGCTGACACACTTGAACCCGGGGAATTACACGGTTAGAGTGCAGGCCACTTCGCTAGCTGGAAACGGATCCTGGACGGAGTCAATCTCGTTCTACGTCCAACCTAAACGTAAGCTTTTTTGGGTACTCTGGAAGAGAAAAACAGATTTAGGAGAAGTGATCTTAATTAAATAGGATGAACTGAGTATGTCTAGTCCAGGGGTAGGCAACCTTGGCTCTTTTATGACTCGTGGACTTCAACTTCAAGCTGGCTCAGGAATTCTGGGAGTTGAAGTCCACGAGTCATAAAAGAGCCAAGGTTGCCCACCCCTGGTTTAGTCTAATAAAGAGAAGGTCTTGGGGTGAGATGATAGCCGTCTTCCAATATTTGAGGGGTGCAAAGAAGAGGGAGCCAACCTATTTTCCAAAACATCTGAAGGCAAGACACGAAGCAACGGATGGAAACTAACCAAGGAGAGAAGCAACCTAGAACTAAGGAGAAACTTCCTAACAATGAGGACAATTAACCAGTGGAACAGCTTGCCTCCAGAAGTCGTGGATGCTCCACCACTGGAGGTTTTTAAGAAAAGATTAGAAAGTGATTTGTCTGAAATTGTATAGGGTCTCCTGCTTGAGTTAGGGGGTTGGACTAAAAGACCTTCAAGTTTCCTTCCAACCCTATTATTCTATTTTCTATAATCCCACCCCTATTATTTCATATATTTATTAGATATCAGCTCTTTTAATGGGACTCTTTGGAGCGCGGGCTTGATAATCCGGTCAGAATTGCTTAGAATAATATATGTAGATGTATGGTAGTTTGTTACATGAGTCACACCCAGTTTGGCAACCTTTTTTGCCACTGTTGTTAAGCAGAACACTGCTGCTGTTAAGCGAATCACATGGTTGTTAAGCGAGTCTGGCTTCCCCTATTGATTGTCCTTGTCGGAAGCCAGCTGGGAAGGTCCCAGATGGCCATCGCGTGACCCCAAGATGCAGCAACCGTCATCATATCCATGCCAGTTGCCAAGAGCCCAAATTTCGATCCCGTGACCGTGGGGATGCTGCAGTGGTTGCAAGTGTAAGTGTTTGTGTTGGTGCATGCTTTTAAATGCTGGCTATTCTTTGTTGCAGCAGCAGACTATGGAAACTTCCTGCATCTGATCATTGTGCTCCCCATTGCAGTCCTGCTGATCATCGGTGGGCTGCTGATCATGCTTTACGTCTGCAACAAGAAGAGGTGAGAATGGCAGATGGGCGGGTGGATCGGGCCCCTTGCAATGCAAGGTTTATTACAGCCCAAAGACCCAACAGGAGCTGCTTTTAACCTGACCTCGATTTGGTGTTTGGGATCGCTGAGAAAAGGAATTCTTACGAAACACTTTATGGGTTATATAATCTCTCTCTCTCTCCATGTCTCTCCAAGGAAATCCCAGGAAATGAAATAAATAATTCTGACAAACATTATAGGCAATATCAAGGATTCCCAAAGTATCTGCACTTTCTTCCTATCCTTCCTCCCCCTCGTTTTAACAACTTGCAGACTTCTTTCCAACCTTTCTTTGTTTCATTACATGGCATAAACACAAGGAACAAGGGCAGGTTTCAGGGTATCTTGAATTGGGTCTAGGACAGGGGTAGGCAACCTCGGCTCTTTTATGACTCGTGGACTTCAACTCCCAGAATTCCTGAGCCAGCCATGCTGAGGGGAAAGGGAGAGGTTTCCAAGCTGAGCCATGCTGGCTCAGGAATTCTGGGAGTTGAAGTCCATAAGTAATAAAAGAGCCAAGGTTCCCCACCTCTGATCTAGATCATGATTTGATGAGTTTAAATCAAGGGTAGGTAACCTTGGCTCTTTTATGACTCGTGGACTTCAACTCCCAGAATTCCTGAGCCAGCCATGCTGAGGGGAAAGGGAGAGGTTTCCATGCTGAGCCATGCTGGCTCAGGAATTCTGGGAGTTGAAGTCCACGAGTCATAAAAGAGCCAAAGTTGCCTACCCTTGGTCTAGGACAACTCACACCGGCTCACTCGCTTCGGGACAATATTTACAATAACAACATTGAAGAAATGGTGGAATAGAATCATCAAAGAAGGAATGCAAAAGGAGGGACAAGTGAAATGTGAATGACAACGATTAAAATATTTTTAAAATTATCTTAAATAATTAAATTGAATTGTTGAGTTGTCCCACAGCGAGTTGTCCTGTAGTTAGTTTTCTCGCAACAAGTTGGCTGTGGCAAGTTGTCCTACTCCTGATCTTGTATCATTCATCCTTCCTTCACTGAGATGGAATACAATTTTCCAAAAAGTGGTCACTTTCTCCCAAGTCAGTTTTTTCTACTATGTGTTGAAGATTTCTTTCAAAGCTTCTGGATGGGGAGTAGTTACAGGTAAACTTTGACTTATGACTGATCGCTTAGCGACCGTTTGAAGTTATGACAGGTCCCCCCCAAAAGTATCTACAACCCAGATTCAAACTTTGGAGAACGAGGGAAAGGAAAAAAAGGGACTTCAGTTGTTCTCACAGAGGCCCGTGTGAAAAGCTACATTTTTGCCACCCCAGATACCAATTTTGGGAAATAAATATCACCTGAAAATGCAAATTTAAGGGATCTACCCTTGCATAAGACGTAGGAAGCTACACATCGGATTCCTTGCACCTCCGTGTGGCATGCTAAAAGTAATTAGTGGAGTGTGTGTGTGTGGGTGTTTTAACAGCAAGTCCCAGAACAGAGCCATCAGGTGAGAGGCCCAAAACAGTGTGAAGATTCTGTCCTTTTTTGGGGGGAGATGGGTATCAACGTGAAGAAGTAACCGTTTATATTTTAACAGGAACAGTGACAGGCTTGGAAATGGAGTGCTGTACGCTTCTGTGAATCCGGAATATTTCAGCGCTTCGGATGGTAAGTTAGCTTTTGACGCTCTTCAGAAGCAAAGTCTTGGAACTGGGTGAATAGAGTTTTCCAGAAGAGAAGGAAAACATTGCTCAAGATGAAATAATCTTCTCCTCCTCCTCTTCATCACCTCCTCTTCTCCTCCTCCCGCTGCTCCCTTGGCCCTCCTTTCCATCTTTCCTCCTCCTCCTCCTCCTCCTCCTCCTCCTCCTCCNTTAACAAATGTTTTGCTGAGCAACAGACATTTTAGGCTCAATTGTGGTCGTAATTTGAAGACTACCCTGTACATGATTGGTTTGGGTTTGCTCAGCATGTTGTGTAAATGCAGCTATTGTGGGTTGCTTTGCTAAGTTGTGACTAAACAAACACAGTTCAGTGTAACATGTCAACACAGTCACTTTATATTCTTGGATTTCATCCGTTCCTAACCTTACAACTTAGGGGCAGGTTTACAGCAGGATGGAACCACACAATGGTTTCAAAGCATTTGTGTTTGAATGTAAACATTGGAAGAGTATAAATTGGAAGAATGTAAACACTGGCCTTTTATAGTTATATTATTCCGGGAAAGGAAACTTCCCTGTTGATAAGGCTGTCAACTTGAACTGTGGCTTTCATATCAGTATGCAATAACAACGTTGGAAGGGACCTTAGAGGTCTTTTAGTCCAACCCCTCTGCTTGAGCAGGAAACATCTTTTTTGTATTGTGGCAACCAAAATTGGAGTATGATCTTACCAGTAAATTATAAAATGGTATTATAACTTCACATTATCTTGATGCTGCCTCTCTGTTGATGCAACCCAGGACTGCATTGGCTTTTTTGGCTCATACTTAAGTGGTCGTCCATTAGGATGCCTGGATCCCTCTCATAGTTACTACTCTTGAGCCAGGTGCCACCTATTCTATACCTGTGCTTTTGGACCCTATCTAAGTGTAGGACCTTATGTTCCAACCACTGAACTGCATTTTGGGGGATATGGCCCAGTGTTCAAGTCTATCCAGATCCTTCCGGTTGCTTAGAACACTTTTATCTTCTAATATGTTGCCTGTTTCTCCCCAGCTTGGTGTCATCTACAGATTTGGTGAGCTCCCCTTCTCTCCCCTACTCATACACCATAAAATTTCCATTCTTTGTGATTTTGCAGTCTATGTGCCAGATGAATGGGAAGTGCCCAGAGAAAAGATTACGATGTGTCGGGAACTCGGGCAAGGCTCCTTCGGCATGGTCTACGAGGGAGTAGCCAAGGGGGTTGTAAAAGACGAGCCAGAAACCAGGGTGGCCATCAAGACGGTCAACGAATCGGCAAGCATGAGAGAGCGGATCGAGTTTCTGAACGAAGCTTCGGTGATGAAGGAGTTCAACTGCCATCACGTTGTAAGTGACCGAACTGCGCAAAGCTTTGTTGATTTCTGACATCTTCCCACCTTCCCAGACTTACGAGTAAATCACAAGTAGTCATCACTTACCAACCATCTTTTCAGTGACTGTTTGGTACTGAGGACCAGTCCTCAAAGTCCCAGCACAGTCGTGTGATTGCCATCTGGCCACTGGACTTGATGGCCACCTCACTTAGCAACAGAAATTCCAATGCCAATTGCAGGCAGTCCTCAACTTAACAACAGTTCATTTAGTGACCGTTCGAATTTACAACAGCACTGAGAAAAGTGTCTTAGGACCATTTTTCACACTTACAACCATTGCAGCATCCTGCATTCAACAATCAGGATCACACATTTGATTGCTCACGCCTATACATAAGAATCTAGTCAGTCAACGGTCAGCACTAAATTGGCACTAGATAAAAGTTAATAGAATTTAAGAAGGATGGGACTTAGAACGCTTGTGGGAACGTAACGACTTTAGGCTGATTCCTCTCTTGACTCCCTCACCAGGCTCTGCCTGTCCTTCTCCTCCAAAGTATCTAATTTGCCTATTTCTTTTGACAGGTTCGGCTTCTTGGAGTTGTCTCTCAAGGTCAACCCACCCTGGTCATCATGGAACTCATGACGCGAGGAGATCTGAAGAGTTACCTGCGGTCTCTTCGCCCAGACACGGAAGTATGTTTGTGGTAGGGGGTGGGAATCTGCTCCATGAAAAGTAGATAGCCTTTGAGAACCACGTTATTTCTATTTGGGGGTCAGTCTGGGTCATCAGTTGTAGTTTTCACAGAGTAGTTGAGATCTTGCAGCTTCAGGGTTGATTTGCAATCCTTATTTAGTGATTGAAGAAGAAGGATAGATTGAATCCTGCATGGATGCATCTCCTTACCTACAGATAGTCCT